TAGCCCACGTACAGGATGCTCAGGCACGTGGCGTACTGGGTGTCGTCGAGCTTGAGGTCGTCCTGGAGCCCCTTGAGCCGCGCCGAGGCAATGTTGTTGCGGTCGAGGTAGTTCATGATGTAGATGAGCACGAAGAGGCCGCAGCGCGCGTCGAGCTTGCGCTTCAGCTTCTTCTCGACGGCGGCTCGCCGCGCCGGATCCATCTGCGGAAGCTGTGGCATCTGGGACTGGGGACCGACGTGCTCGAGATTTTCCACCACGTTCTTCTCGACGTCTGCGTGCGCCGCAGGCGCCGGTGAGATGTTGTCTCCAGACATGGTTTGACTGCTTGGGGTGAAAAGGGGGAGAGAAGTAGGGCGAGCCGGGGCAAAAGGGAAAACAGTACAGCTCGGAACCCGACGAAGAAAATTTTAAAGTCTAAAGAGGTTTATATATGCTGTTCGTGCTGCCACTGCTCGTCCATGGCGGTACCGAAAGCAAGGGGGCCAAAGCCATGCCAGACATGAAAAGGAAAAAATTGCCAAAACACCACATGATGGCGCTTCTCCACACTCTTTTCCCCGGAACAACCAGAGTCGTGCGGTCGACCGCCGTTTCTTCCCCTCCTTTTTCTCCGCCTTGTTATAAAACAACGGACCACATTGTGGAGGAGCGTGGGCAGACGTCTCTCATGCGCGTGTGGTGTTGCGCGCCACCCCGTATGAAGATGCTGGGTCCCCGCAACTTGGTTGGAGAAGAAGGCAGGGGTGAGGACTCATGGCAACAGCGAAGAGAAGGACGGTATTTCCGCATCGAATCTTGCATGCCCGCGGCCCAGGCTCCGACGGAGTACGAGCATCGCCTAGACCAGACTAGTCAGTCGTTGAACAATTTGCGTCCATGTCGTGTTATGCGCGAGTTTGGCCCCAAGGCACATGACCCGTACCCTGGATTTGAAAGCCATTATTCATGCTTTGTGTCCGGGCATGGAACCGCGAGATGAAATCAATTAATCCTTGGCTCAATACATACGGAGTACAAGCTTCCGAGCTCGTGCCGGGCTTTCGCCTCAGCTGCAATGTGTCATCCTACACGTCGGCAAATGGACCACGTAAAGGCGTCTCGGTATCCCTCCTCCGTGGACCGTGGTGTCGCCATCGGCAATTGACCGCGGCTGCATCTCACCAACAACATTCAATGTTGAGGCACTTGACCAAATCTGCAGTGGCTGCCGCCACCGAGACGGTCCGATTCCCCGTTGCGCCATCACACACTCCCATTGACAGCTTCTAGATCAAGCGAAAAAAGGCAAAGCTGCCTGTCGGCGAGAGTGTTTCCACTGGCCTCATGGGCTCGTGACTTGCAATACCTGGGGGCCGCAATCTAGGCAATGATGCCCGCGGAACAGCAACTCATTCTTATTCAGAGTTCAAGAGACGACTGGTGCTGAGCAAGACAGGCCCAGGCCCCCCTTGTTCAAGTAACGACTAGATTGGGTTCAAGGTGTGGTTATGTGGAGATTGTGGGCTGTGACTTGACTCGTGAGACTGGGGTGGCCATTGTATGGACATGTATGGTTCGCCGAAGGTCTTGACAAATGGTATAAATGTTGGAGCGCTGTTTCACGCAGTGTCGAGTTGTCAAGTCGTACTTCCACATGGGGAGCAATGTTAGACATGATGCATAGATCGACTGTCATACACGTGTTGATGTTGTATCGTCATTTTGACCTCGTGGTGTTGATTCGGCGCTTAGTCAAGCCAACTTGTTAAACCCTACCTGGCCACCGAGTCGGTATGTAATAATTACAGGTAGATCGGTAGTAGTTCACGGCAGGCTTATTGCCGTTGCAATTGCATGCATTACGTTGTCCCGAGCTCAGCGTGATGGAGAACCAATTGCGCATGGAAGATGGCATGTGTCGTGTATACCGCAACTACAAATTGTGTCCTCTTCATTCATCGTATCATGCCTCCATAGGACCGTCTGTCAATCACAAATTAGAGAGGAGGGGTTTTGGGGCGACCTGTTAGGCCCGGTCCAACGAGTCAATTAAATAATGGCGGATTCGATGGCGTTGGTGAGATCTCACGATGCCGCCCAAGTTTACCCAAGGAAAGAACTTGGTCGGCATTTGTAGTCGTCAACAAGTGAATGCTTCTCGGCAGCTTCTCCTCGCTCTTCTCTCCCTCAACTTTTTCAGCATATTGTCCCTCTTATCCTCAGTTCTGTCCAATTTCCTCTCGTCACTGGTTTGTAGGCAACGGCAGTCTAACCCTAACCCCAAGCAGTCTCAATGTTGGGCCGGACGCCGACTCGGATCGGCCGTAAGCGGGTGTTGGGGAATAACTTCCAACTTGCCCCACCAGCTTTCCTTTCCGGCAGCGCCATCCATCGTCATCATCTCATCCACCACCCAACTCGGCCATTCAAAATATACACGATGCAGCTCAGAATAGCAAGACTCTACATTGCCTCTAGAAGCCTGCTGCATCCTTTCTGCAAACGCCGGTTGGAACCGACTCCGATAGTACCCTCGCAGCCACCAACATCTTCCTCCATCGCCATCGTCCCGACTTCGGCCTCACCAGGGTCCCATCACCATCAAGTCAAGGCCACATAAAACGCCTGCGAGCAATCTGCAATACCAAATCACATGTCTCGCCAGGCCAAGTCATGCACCCGCTGCCGGCAGCAAAAAGTCCGCTGTGACCGTGTCTCGCCCCGTTGTTCACGATGCGCCTCCTCCAAGGCGAGCTGCTCATTCTCGCAGCAACCATGCGCCTCCGTCTCTCCTCCGCCATCGACGCCCTCGGCCAGCACCGAATCGCAAGACCTGTTCCTCTCCCTCCCATCTAGTCCGTCGCTCGTGCCGGAGGAGCCTCACGGACGCCGGGTTGAGCCAGAGCCCGCACATCCAAGTCCCGGCGGCGGAAGCGGCATCCAGGCCAAGCGCAAGAAACGCCGCCGGGCTTGTCTGTCCTGCGTCCGCTGCCACCGTCTCAAAATCAAATGCGACAAAAAGGAACCCTGCACACGCTGTCGTCTTTCCGGCTGGGGTCGACAATGCGAGTACACGCACAGGGTAGAGCCGAGCGGCGAGGCTGCGTTGCCCTACGTCCTGACCGAGGAGGATCCTCAAGTTGCGCTCGCGACGTGGCATTCGCCCCATAGGGGGTTGAGCCATTGGCGAAGTTTGCTTTCCAAGGCAAGTTGTCTCGCGCCCAGCGTCTTGTTCCCTTTCCGCAAATCACCAGACCTGACACGTCTTGCAGCTCGGGTGTGTCGCCCAACTCGAGTCTCTGCCTGTCCTCGCAACCGAAGACGCCATTCTTCGCAACCTCAGCGCTACAAGTGGCGTCATGCTGCCCGACAACTTTCCCTTCAACAGTCCCCGCGCCTCCCCGTTTGCCTGTATCCAAAAGGTGCGGACTCTGATCGGCTCGCACCGCGGGGACTGCGACGCCTTCGTCGAGGGATACCTGGACCTGTACCAGATGGTACACCCCATCATCGACACGGACGAGTTCCGGGCCCGCGTCTCTGCGTACTGGGACGACCCTCGGTGCCTAGATGCCGCCTGGCTCAGCCAGTTCCTCATGGTCCTCGCCCTGGGCCAGCTGGTTGTCACGGGAAAGACGGCGCCGACCGTGGAGCTGTGCATGGCGGCAGAGGCGTGCCTTGCCAAGACGCCGTTTATGCTGAGGCCCAACATATCCATCATGCGGACCATGTGCCTCATGGTGCTGGCCAAGCTGACGACAAACGCGACGTGCTGGTCGTTTGACGCCTGCTGGAATCTGCTGGGGTTTGTGGTTCGGCAGGCGATATGCCTGGGCTTTCACCGACGGCATCCCCCAACGTACCCGTCGCCGCCGGTCGAGTATGCGGACTGGGAGGCGGGCAGGGCCATCTGGACCACGCTGCTGTATTTCAACATCCAGGTCGCCATGATCTCGGGCATGCCATCGTGCATATCCACCGATGTCATTGCCTCGCACGACCTGGCGTCGGACCTTGGGTCTCTGGACACGGCGGCGCTGGCATGGCACAGCGTCATACACACGTCCGGCCCCACCATCATCAAGATCATCTCGCGCGTCAACGCAGACACGAACCTGCCCTCGTACGCGGAAATCCTCGAGTACAGCAGCCAGGTCCGCCAATGCATGAGCATACTCGATCGCGTCCAGGGGCCTCGCACGCTGCGCATGACGCTCGACATGTTCTTCCGCCGCGTTCTGCTCGTGCTCCATCGCCGCCACGCGCTCGACGTCGACGCGCCCAGCAAGTATCCCGTGTCGTACTGGGCCTCGCTCGAGTGCAGCCTTGCGCTGCTTGTTCATCAGCGCGACCTCTACGACCAGGACAAGGCGCCCCGGGGTGCGGATTTGCTGGTCCGCCTGTACATGCTGGACGTGTTTGCGGCGGGCATGACGGCGACGATTCACTTGCTGAGGAAAGACGCGCCCCTGGCGTCGGGCTTCGCCATCCCGCCCAGGCAAACCATCCTCGAGACGTTGCAGGCGTGTACGGAGCTGTGGGCAAACGAGACGATTCAGAGTCCCTGCTTCAAGATGGGCCATGCCTTGCTGGACAGGGTTGTGGGGGCGTTGCTCGAGGGAACTGTTTCTCTTCCGTGAGGGGAATGGTAATACCACAGAGACTGTATAGTCGTAGTACTAGACATATCTCCAAGGGCTCGAGCCGTCTGAGTAAATGAGATGGCTTCTTCCGACTGCCGACTCCCCCCTACACCCACGACATGATGAATGCAAGAGCCATAGCTCAAGACAACCAAGGTGGGTAAGGCTGTATCAAACTACCTCTGCAAAAGCAGAGAATTTGCCCAAAGTTGAGGAACTTCCGGCGGCAAAGGTCACTGTTTGTATCCTTTACACACATAGCACAGTCCGCAGCGTCGTATGCCGTGAATCCGCGCTGCAAGACGACCATCTCGAGGTCTATCCAGCAAACCACATCACACCACCCCATGCCAATACTCGCAACCATGTACGGACATGGAGCATGTACCCCCACGCTCATCCGGTGCCGGAGCGGGGGAACACCGATCAAGTCAATTGATAATCACTTCAAACCCAAAACGAACCATCTCGCGAACCTCGGCCGTCACCAACCACACCACGCACCCAACACCAAGGATGGGCAAAATAGCCAAGATTGAGTATTTCCGCGTGCCCCCACGATGGCTCTTTGTCAAAATCACCGACCAAGACAACAACACCGGCTGGGGCGAGGCCTCCCTCGAGGGCCACACGCAGGCCGTGGAAGGATGCCTCGACGCATGGCGCGAGCAATACACCGGCCTCGAGGCAGAGTAGGCCATCCATCCCCCGCCCGTCCGTCTCGCGCAAAACTAACCTCCCAGCCAGCGACATTGAGCAAATATGGCAAATGTCATGGCGCAAGTCCTTCTACCGCGGCGGCCCCGTGCTGATGAGCGCCCTGTCCGGCCTGGACATTGCCCTCTGGGATCTAAAAGGCACGACTCCAAACAAGACATACTCCCACCATCTACACCACTAACCCTCCGTACCCGCAGCCCGCAAGCTCAATGTCCCCATCTACCAGCTCCTCGGGGGCAAGCTACGCTCCAAGCTAAAAGTATACGCCTGGATAGGCGGCGACCGGCCGTCCGACGTCGAGCAAGCCGCGTAAGCACCCCCCATCCCATCCAGAGGCGCCAACACTCGGCGCCGAGTCCTGACAAAAACCCGCAGCCTCGCCCGCAAGGCCCAGGGCTTCACGGCCGTCAAGATGAACGCCACCTCGGACATGGCCTGGCTCGACTCGCCCGCCCGGCTAGCGAGCTGCGTCGAGCGCGTGCAGGCCGTCAAGGCGCAAGGGCTCGACGTCGGCGTCGACTTCCACGGCCGGCTGCACCGCCCCATGGCGAAGCAGCTCGCCGCGCTGCTGGCGCCCCTGCAGCCGCTCTTCATCGAGGAGCCCCTGCTCCCGGAGCACATCGAGGCCGTCCGCGAGCTCGGCAGGTCGGGGCTGGCCGCCAGCTCGGGGGCAAGGCCGCCGTGCCCGTCGCCCTCGGCGAGCGCCTCCACAGCCGCTGGGACGCGAAGCCCTTCCTCGAGGCGTCGTGCGTCGACGTCCTGCAGCCCGACGTCTGCCACGTCGGCGGCATCTCGGAGCTTCGCCGCATCGCCGCCATGGCCGAGGCCTACGACGTCCCCATCGCGCCGCACTGCCCGCTCGGGCCCGTCGCCCTCGCCGCGTGCCTGCAGGTCGCTGCCGCCACGCCCAACTTTGCCATCCAAGAGATGAGCCTGGGCATACACTACAATGTCGGCGGCTACGACTTGCTGAGCTACATCACGAACCCGCACATTTGGGACGTCAAGGACGGCTATGTGGAGCTGATGGACGGGCCGGGGCTGGGCATTAGTGTCAATGAGCAGCTGGTCCGGGAGGCTAGCAAAGGTGCCGAGGCGTGGGTGAGTCCTGGCTTTGTTGGCCCGGGTGGTGAGTTGAGGGAGTGGTGATGGGGTCGTTCATGGGTTGGCAGGACAAGGGGGGATCAAGGGTTGGTGACTTTCTTGGGCAAACGTACATCTGCTCAGGGGGGCAAACCACATCATTGGATTTATCCAGCAATCATTTCTGCCTAGCTGAAATCAGGGCCTGCGCAAGTGGTTGCTCAAGACCTGCTTAGGCACACAGGTACTTGCATGCACAGGACAATACCGCAATGGCACATCAAACACTCAAATGTCCTCCTGGCATTCATGGTATCAATGGTATCAATTCAACTTCACGTCATATACTCTATCGAGCCTAAACTTGGACCATGTAGCAACCATGCTGTACCTTCACTGCTTCAGCCTAATCATTGGCTGGTCCGCTTTAGCTTCGTCCACGCTTTGTGAATGAGCCTGCTGTGAATAGTACAGCCTCAATATTGAATCCATCGTCCACTTCAGTAACATGAAAAAAGACAAAAATTCATCGCTTTCATTTATGCAATCGGTGCGCACGTAAAGACGCCTCTGGTTCTGCCAGTCTGGAATGACAGTATCTAATGGACACGGTTAGCATCAGGGCTTCATACATGTTCAGACACGCAAAAAAGGACAACGAAACAAGACAAGACCAGGCGGGTAACGTACAATGTCGTCAACACTGGCGTAGGTGCCGCACACCAAAACCACAATGCCAATAACGAAGCAGGCTGCATTGGCAATCGATCGCAGCAGGTTTTCTCGGGAGTGCCAACTCCCCTTTTTGAGGAGCTTGAACCACATCCATGCAGGCAGGTAAAATGTGAAGCCAGAGATGAATAGGGACGAGGAAATCGACAGCAGATCATTGAAGAAGGGAATCACCTCAGCAATGATGAAGGCGGCGATAGTAATGGCGCTAATAACAGCAAACCAGGTCGCCCAACCCTTGGGGGTGTTGATAAATCGGGTAATCGAATCCTTGTAAATTCGTCCGTGGATATATCGGCCAATAACAGTTGTATTGATCGATCCAGAGATGAAGATGACGGGCAGGGCAACCCCAAATGCAATCTTAGAAATAGTATGTCCAGCAGAGAGCAGTGATGGGGACTTGACATCGACACCGACAAACGAGTACACGAGAGCACCAGTGAGAGTGTAAATGAAGATCTCAATAAGACCAAGCGCCCAGATAGACTTGGGATAGTCCGTGGGGGTGTGCATTTCATCCATAAAGGAGAACTGGCACATGGAGAAACTATACGCGAAGCAGATATTGGTAATGGCGATAAATCCTTCGGCAAAGGTGAGTCCCTCCTTGGGCCAAGCCGACCAGCCAACCGCGGACAGGCCGCCCTCTGCCTGGCCAGCCCTAACACCTGTAGCGATAATTGTGATACCAATGGCCACCAGGATTGAAACGAAATCGACGTAGCCCAGGATGGCCACCTCGGCAAACGAAGGGGGGATGGCAAGCAGAAGCAGGAGGACAGCCGAGACGACGCCAAAGACGACTGAGCAAGCTCCGTTTTCTGTTATGTTGAGAAAAGCGATGGTGCCCGTCAAACAGTGAGATCCGACAAGGAAAGTCAGCTGCAAAACGAACATGGCCCCGACAACTTCGTATCCAAGGCGACCAGCTAGCAGCCGTCCAGCGTCTGCATAATGGGCAACTTCCGGGTACGCAATTTTGACCTGTCCAACGATATCAGACGTGTAGATGGCGATGAGACCGAGACCAACACAGCATATAACACCGGCAACCATGCCGAGAGAGGCAAAAGCCGCGGGCAAACTCAGAGCCCCGAGAGCAATGGCCTCAACAATGAGAACAACCGTTAGACGTTTCCATCCCAGACGGTTGAAGTGTGCGTTGCCCTCGGCAGTCTTTTGCTTCTCTAGATCGGTGCGTCTCTCTTCGAAATCCGTCACCTCGCCCTCGATGGGACCACTGAGGACATTATCTGAAGGGGTGTGATCGGAGCTGGAAGAATCCTTCTCCTTCTTGACGTGCTCGGAGAAAGCGTGGTCGCGCACGACAGGGTCCGACATGGTCAGGGCAGCTGCTGGCGTGTCTTGGGGGCCGTATATATGATGCGTATAAGATGTGTCTGACCAGGGATGGGGATATTTAAAAATACCCAAGGGGTCGTCGACGGCTGGCGAGGACGATGTCAAACACGGGCGCCGGCTGAAGGCTGCTCTGGCCAACTTGGTCTGGCGCAGTCAATCGATGCTGACTCTTGTGGTCAACCGAAGCCCCAGAGGTAAAGGATGGAGGGAAACCAGAAGAAGAAAATAGAGAAGGAGGGTTGTGGGATGGGAAGAGAAAAATGGGGGAAAGTGCCAAGAGGGGACGAGCGAGGTTAAAAGGAAGTGGCCAGACAAGAGGAACAATGAGCCGCGAGAGAGGACCGGTGTGAATCAGTGCTGATCGTGTGGAGGAGATGGAGCTTGTCAACTTGCATCTGACAAGCCTAGTTGGACGAAGAGACGTAGTATGTAGGCGCAAAGGGTTTCGCTACTCCGCGGCAGATAACGATACACGACGAGAAGAGACAAGGGTTGTAGACGGGTTTGGGGCTTGCAGCAGCCGGGATCAGGATGCAAGAAAGGAAGGGGGGCGGCTAGGGTGGTAGGAGGAAGTAAAATTGGCCAGGTCGGCTAGGTCGAGGAGAGTCTGGTGAAGTTTAGAATCAACGGGATGTGCGCGGCCATGCAAAAGCTGAGGCGACCCAGGAGGGGAGATGGCGACCAAGCAAGTCGGCAGATGGCGCAACAGCGATGGACAAGGCATGGCCGAGCCTGCGGGTGAACTGGTGTCACCAAGCGTGGCAATATGAACGAGGCCATCCGGACCCGGAGAGGCAAAGTTGGCCGGCAGGTAACAAACACCAGGGCCATTTGAGACCAGGCACTTGAGACCAGCACCCCGTGGCCCGGGAAGTCCTAGTAGTACCTAGTAGTCAAGTAGCACTACTCCTACTCCGTACTCCGAGCTACGAACAGACCGGAGAGTCAAGACATTGGACTAGAATCAGAGACAAAGGCCCTAAACGGCAAGGCGGCGGGGCGAGCGTAGAAAATGAGGATGTGGATGCGGATGTGGATGTAGATGCGGATGTGGATGCGGATGCGGATGTGAGTGTGGATGCCGATGATGCGTCTGGCGGAAGCAGCACAAGAGCCTGCACCAGGCAAAGAAAGCCCAGTTGACGCTCGGGCTTGAAGATGCGCTTGCCTGTATTGTCTAGTATTGTATCGCATCGCATCGCATCGTACTGTGTTGTCGCGTATTCGCAACAAAAACGCGCAGGGTCCGGGCCAGCATCTGGCTGTCCTTGTCGCCGAAGCAGCGGCATTTCATTGCTCTTCATCTCCATTCCATTGTCGCTATGGGGTCATTGAAATGGGACCGAGATCCAGACCGTCATCCTTTGCAAGATAAGAGATAAGAGGAAAACTCTATCGTGCCTGGTTGCCGTCGTCGCCCTCTGAAGCTTGTACTCGACGGAATGCCGCAGTACCCCAGATGCCCACTGACGGCTCCCCGCAAACGTTGTTTTCGTTTTAGATTCGCCCGGCCAGAAGTAGAGGAAGACATCGGTGCATCGCGAAGCACAGCATGCCGATGCGGGATTAGTCTTGGTTGGGGTTGTCAGCGCCAGGCTTTGCTTTCCTTGCCCTTGGGGCGGCCCTCAAATGGACGAAAGACGAATTTTGTGAGGGTAATGGGGTGGGTCGCAATGTGTTGCTGCGAATCCAGTTATGTGTACGGAGTAAATCATCGTCATCGACGGAGTCCTGGCCCCTTTGGCAGATAACGGAGCAACCAAGGAGAGGAAGCGATGAGGTTGCAATGCCAGCCAGGGCTCCCGGCCAAGTCCGTTTCTACTGCTACGTGTCCTTGCCCGTGCGTGGAACTTGTGCGGGTTAACGGGCGCCATGGAAGAAGAAAAAGACTGGATCTGGCGGCCATCTGCCCATTGTACGACGAGTTACATCGTTCTCATGCTTGCTGGCTCGGGTGGAGAGCTGCCTTCATTGAGTCAGTTTCCATGTGTCAAGAGACGAACGACCCGCCAGCGTGTTTCCACCCGTACGACAGCTCGTGGTTCGTGATGAAGGGACCTGTTTCGTGGCATCGTGGACCCTCTGGGGTAGCATTACCATGAGGCCCTGAATTTCTTGTCCAGCATGAGGCGACGCAGGCAATTGTATAACCCCAGAGGTTTGCAACCGAATGCGGGACACTGGCCGTGGTTGTCGGATGCCGGATGGGGGAAATGACGTCGGGTATTACCATGCCGTACATATTGGTGTCACTGGTGGCTTGCTCTCCAAGCGCTGCAGCCAAGCAGAAACTTCTGCCTCCCGTCTGGGCATGGCCAATCAATTGCTGGATAATGTGCCAAAGCAGAACGCCCGTCTTGTGTCATGCGCCATCCAAATCGGCACAGATTGCCGCGAGCCGCAAGCCACCAGCCGCACCCAGCCAAGCCTCGGACTGTGCGGTGCGCGATATGTTTGCCGGTGCCTGCGAAGAGTGGTGGGTGAAGCCAGGGTAGCGCCGCCTTGCTTGGCCGGGCGGCACCTGGGGCATCTTGGGCCTTGGCTGTGTGGTGACAGCCAGAGCCAAGCCAGGGATTCAGCCGTTCGGGTTTTGAGGTTGGCCGTCTCGAGTCTAGGGCTCGCTGGCCCGGTGCCTGTTCATCTCGACTGCAATCGTTCGATGCCGCTTCTTGGGCGGCGTGCATCTGCACGGTTTGTCCGGCCTTGGCAGACCTGGGCAGAGCAGAGCACCAGAGCACCAGACAGATCAGATCAGCAGACAGATCAGATCAGGTGACTGCCCAAGCGAGCTCCGGCATGACGCCCACCAGCCCGTCGCACCTTCTCTTTGCATGCCAATGAGCAACATTGAACGCCAGCGATGAGGGCTAGCCATCAATCCGGCCACAAGGCCACGCAAAGCCACACACAAAAGCCTCGTCCTAATCTGAAACCTACACTCTAAACTCTGAATTCTGACCACCACAGCTGACATCGCCACAGCCGTGACGAAAACATGCATCTGCCTCGAGCCATTCCACTCACACCTGGTCCGTCTCCATTTCCGCAAGCCATCAAGCCATCGCGCGTACTGCCGTCCTACGGCCCAGAACAGCTCTATTTCGCATTGTACATTCCACCCCCGGCCGCCCGGCGACTGCATCGTGAGCCAGTCTTCATCCATTTGACTTGCTGCCTGCCCGGCACCAATTCGGTGCTTATCTTGTCCCCTTCATCATTCGTCTCCCCAGGTCCATGCTACTACGTGTAATAGTGTCCGATGCCTCGCAGACTCGGTCGGTCGCTTCTCACCTTTTCACCAGTTCCGAAATATGCATCCACATCGAACCCACTCACACTCCTCTCCAGTCCTCCCCACCCATAAACAACAATTCATTTTCGACTCCCTGTCACGATCTTTTCCTTATTCGGTTACCTCATGGTTACCTCATCGTCACTGCCGGGGGTTGTCTGGCCTCTGCGGGGCCACGAAATCAGGGAAGGCTTCTGGAAATTTTCGAAAGTACGAACAAGGCATTGATGCAGAGACGGAGAGACACCAGTCACACGCGCTGCATTGTCTGTCGGTGTGCTGCGCGCAGTCAACGAGCATCTTGCTTCTTTGGTCCCTTGACTTCCCTGTCCTCCGCGGACCGGTCGCTTGTTCAGCGACCACTTGCAAGTTCGCAACGGCCTTCTGCCCCATATCGAATCATCTGCAGTGTCATGTTCCCTGCAAGTGTGCCTGGCCGCGAGATTTACGACACTTTCGGAATGCTCTCGAAGCACTTCCATAACCAAAGGTAATACTCCGTACTATGTACATATGTACGGAGTATATGAGGACTATTACTACTCCACCGGCTGTGTCAGGCCACAGACCTGTTACTTGTATTGCACTAATGGTGAACTGCCAGCGCCAGCCGAGAGTCGGTGCTCTTTTTGCTCCTGCGAGATTACTTTCGTCGCCGTGCTCTACTCTTGGAACCGTATCTTTGTGATAACTCCTGCAGATGTTCGACGTTGGTGGCCTACCCAACAGTAAAATAACCAGCTGTCGTTGTTCTCGTCTGCGCAGCTCAACCAAGCTGCCTCTACATGATCCGCAATCTTGAGACAGCGCCAACGCAGCAGTTATGTCGCTCATCGCTCACGTAACTGCATTCATCCTTCAGTGTCAACTATTCCGGGTTTTCCGAGTTGTACTCGTATCACAGCAATGAGGTGTCAGCCCGGCCGGGCATAGCTCGGCCTAACTGCCAATATGTTTCTTCATCACGTTTCATAGTTGATTTACGCCCTCCTATTCCTGCAAAGGTTCTTACATAGTACATCTACATGTTTAAGTGAGCTCCACAGCATATGGAGTTGCGAGAAGCCCTCGTTTTCCTCTTGATCTCGTCATTGGTCCACAACCATCGATTTGTCGAGATCTAGACGGACCCAGGTCATCATGTAACCCCCACGGGGATGGTGGCCTCCGACATCAAGGAGGCACGACTAGTACGTACACGAATTCTGCTCCCTTCGATTCTCCATAATTGTCAGACGCTGTCACCAATTTGAGGCTTTTGGAAAGTGTAAACCATTCAGGGGTCGCGAGCGGGAAACCTGGAGGTGGAGTTGTGACAATGCAACATCCCCAATGTTGGATGATCCTAGATGGTGAGGGGACGAGCACTCGCAACTTGCGTACATGGCTATGAATGCGTGTCGCCAGTTTTTCGTCCGTTCAAGGATTTATTACCCCGATTGATCCTTGTTGCTATGGGTTTCTGTAACCTTGACATGTCAGGCAACGAATAATGTCTTTCGTATTTGGCATATTCTGCAACCCAGGTTCCTTGCATACGCTTAGTCTCGGCTATGGAGAGTGCGGGAGCAGATGCGGGAACTGTTCCGCTAATGGGTCGTAATAACGTGGCCCAAGTAATTGTATGTAGTAGTACACGGTTCGATCTTGGAGAATGGAGAGATACAGTTGATCTGGAACGTCGATT